ACCGACGGACCTCGCCCGCTCCGCCGAGCCACTCCCAAGTCCTCAGCTCGGGATCGGAGCACGGTGCGCGGATCGCCGGTTTGGTCGGAAGATCTGGAGGCGCAAAGGGTTGGGTGCCCGGTCGCGAGTCATCGCACCATTTGCGTGGAGAACCATCGGATATGGAGCAAACAGTTGCTGATTGAGTGGTGCGCTCTGAAGCCTGCTGTCCTCCAACTCAGTGAGAAGGACCAAGAAAAAAACACACTGAACATGGAGTCAACCATCAAACGCTTCAATTGCCCCATGCTTGACGTCCAAAGTTGACTGAAGGTCATTGAACAAAAATACCCGAGAGGGCTCCTGTCCCACATCGTCAGGTAGTTATGGATCCCGACTGGCACCTACCCCAGTCCCACCTTATCAGAAGGTAGTTGGATCCCTATAGGGAGAATTTGTCAGACCTATCAGTCGGGTCTATCCGAGTTTTATTTGGGCCCAGTGGATGATGATGGTTAAGTTGTAGGCCGTGTCCCAAAATAGTGATTAATTGCTTACTGACTGTTACAGCTAGGACAAACCCTACCTATCAGGACCTTGGCGAGGCAAAACGGTGACTCTCGGGAACCAGAGGCGCCGCCTGTGGCTGCCCGTCCTCAGGTGTGGCGAGACCCAAAACCATCCAAAACCCGCCGCAAAAAAAAACAAACAATGATATATGTCTGAAAACACTTCTGGACCCCTAACTCACACCAGCCCCAAATGTAACATCATAAATCCATATAAATCCAGTGGATCCTAAGTTTGATCCCCTCCTCCACCATTTCCGTCCAAATGCCCCCAAGGAGCATAGGCTCAGGTGGCTGACGTGGACGACACAACATACCTCCAGTGCCAAACCCGCCAGACCACCTTCACATGAGGTAGTTGGAACCTAGGGATCACTGCTCCATGTGCTGTTTTCCCTGAGGACAGCTAACGCTGCAAACACCGAGGGCCGTTTCTGAAAAACTCTTGGGTGCTAACATGTGCAAACCATTCATCGCCAACCTTAACTGAGTTTCAATGGGATGCATGCATGCCTGAACCCTGAACCGTGGCTGTGGGTGGCTCATGTCACTGGAGCGGCGTCCTTGAAATCAAGGGACTGACCATCTAGAGAACTTGCCGACCCTGCAACTCAAAAGTAATTTGTGGCTCCTTCAGTTTCCGTGGACAATAAAGGTTACATAACATTTTTCTATCTGTTCTTGTGTACGTGGGGTGCCCCCCCACGTACAACCCCCCGAAAAGGGTGACCTGCAGGTTCATCCACCTACTTCCTGGGTATGAGACTCATCCCAGGTGAATCCTTCGGACCTGGGTATGGGTTCTTCTCGGATGGTTCCTTTGCAAAGAGAGCCGGATCTCTGGAACCCTCCGGTCACCTCTTCAACCATCCATTGATCCATTGATCGCTTCAACCAGCTTCAACCTCTCCCTTCCCTCGCTCGGATCGCCCGGCTGATACCGTCGCCGCCATGAAAGGCCATGGAAGTAACTCCTGAGGCGTGGTCCGGACCGGCGCGTGGGCGGCCGGCCATGCACATCCATGCAGAAGTCCAGCCCTAGGGCTCCTGGCCCACCGAACTCGGTGGGACTGGGGTCCCGGGTGGGTGGTTTAGGGGGGGTCGATCTTCCCGTCACCGAAGTCAATGGGACGGCGGCTCCCGCCCCTTGTTCGGGGACTCCGACCACGCCGTCCGGGTTCTCTTTCCCCACGAGGGACCCTCCGGGAATCCATCCACGACCGTTGAACCAACACGGGACCTGCCGCTGACGGACGGACGAGGTCTTTGCGCAGCTGTCTGCAAGGCCTATCTACCAGGGTCATCCTGTCATCCGGGTCCTGGCGTTCGACTACCCTTATACCTACCTTACAGGCCTCCAGACAGGGCACTCATTGAAAGTGCTAGGTATAGATGTGATGTGCACTTTGTTGTCTTCGTTTTCTTTGAGGAATGTGACCTATCCAAGGGACAAATCCAGCATGGAAGTGAAACTTTTTCGCCAACGATGTTGCCGCCTAATCAAGTCTACAGTATATGGTCTTGTATGGTTTTGTCACGTCTTGTCATGTCCTTACTGTGTGTCCTCAAGTTCTCCACAACTGACAAGAACCCCCAAACAAACTGTTTCTATCACACGACGGTGACGTGTACACGTCGGTGGGCGGGATTGCACGCATCACTAGGTGCAGGGCACAAGGAGAGAATCAGCTATCTTCCATACATTGAATGTCATGTAACATGTAATTCATGGATTCATGTATACACATGTATGCATGGGTTCTTGAAACATGCCAACAAATCACAAAGACATCTTCCAGCATCTGCAGTTTGGGTGTCCAGCCCCCCCGAACGTCCACGTCCTGTGTCTCTCAACGCTTCCCGGCCCTCGCCTCTCTGCTCGTTCGGCTCAGGTCGTGGCACCGCACCGGCGAGGCTCCGCGCGGGGCGGAGCGCGCCGGGGGGAGGGTCGTGGTGCTCTCTCGGAGCCCAAAGAATCTGCGGGGACCGGTGGAACAGGTCCGGGGCCCGGACCGTCCGGCCGTGAAGCTGGAGGTCACCGGGTGACCTGAGATAGACCCGAACTACCATACCTTATGGGATAGTCTGACAGTATAGTATATACCAGGGGCCCTCAAAACCATGAAAAAAAAAGGTTTTCACATACAAAAAACAGGCTTTTTGCTAGGGAAAACCAGGTTATCGATGGTTTGTGGGACCCCTGATATAGGGTTCTTCAGGCTCTGTTGCAACAGTTTCAACTTCACAGACCGTGTCGGCTTCGGACCTGACCAATCCCGGAAGCGACGCTTCGCCGTGGCGAACGCCGACCCTCACGGCGGGCAGTCGGGAACAACAACCATGTTATGCCCGGCCGCACTCCATGGGATGCTTTTTTCATTGGGGTGGCTGAACTGGGGTCTTCAGGTAGGAATCGATTTCATACATCCGAAGAGGACGCTGGCGGTCCATGACCTTCATGATTCCAGGGAGTGCAACTTAGAAGAAGAACAAGTGGTACAGTATGGTGGTATGTTGATGTATGTTGTGGTTCAGATCCAATGGGTAACTGGCAGAACTCCACCAACGACTTGGGTAAGCACAACATCTGCATCAAACTCGCGGTGTCACCCGGTCGCAGTTGCCACGAGAAGAAAGCCCGGCACAGGGGCGACAATTGATCTTTTGGCGAAGGTGTCCTCCGGTTCAGGCACCCTCAGAATGAGTGTTTTGGGAATTTGTGTAAGTTTGGAAGGTCTATGTATGATGATCTATAAATATACCTTGAGTCTCCAATGACCCTTTTCCAGCAAAAACACAAAACATTAGACCCAAAACAAAAACGCAGAAAAAATAAGGTCTTTGGAGACTCAAGGTATACTAATTGCCTTAGTAAGGTGTTTATGTTCTTCAGCCCTAGCGGCCCTAGCAGACCGGGTCCAACAGGCAGTGGCAAGGACTGGGACTCTGGCAGCTCATCCTCGAAGCTTTCATCCAGCGTCAACCTGGGGGTGAACAAGCACACTGGCGTCGCGGCACAAGCGAATGGACGGCGACCCGCATTACCCAAACATTACCACTCTCCATGTACTGCATATATGCATGGCCTTTGGGCTAGACCTCTGAGGCCAGAAATTGTGTGGTGCTCTTCTGAATCTTCAAGCGTCGTCCAGCCCAGTCCAGGATGCTTGACTGAGCTCAACATCGGAGACCCTCTGAGCTCAACATATATGTGCGCGCTTGCAAGCTGCAATATGTGGTCTAGTTGCAGTTGAAGTCACCAGTTACGAAGAGTCACCAGTTATCCAGTTATGAACATCCCCAAAACCTTATTGGAACCTCTCTAGACTCTAGACCTGGCCACCGTCGGAACTGTACTGGGAACTACAGCTGAAAAGAACTTTGAGGACTGCCCCATGATCCGATTACCATCCACTTCCATGATGATTCCGGGCAGTGTATGTAGGGTGTCCAGTGGACTTTGTAAGTGTTGGTTTGGGGGTACTGTATCCATTGGTGACTCTGAATTGAATTGGATGATGGTTCTTGACATCTCTTCATCGCATCCAGGAACGTGGATTTGCTGTCCAGGAACAGGGACGTTTAAACATATACTATCCATACCCAAACGCTCCATGTATACCATATGCCTACATTGACCCCCAAAACCACCCCAATGTAGGCATATATGGCATACATGGAGTGTCTGGGATATATCCCAGGTTGATTTAACCAGTTTGGGAAAATAAACAAAATCACCTGATCAGCCAAACCAGGAGGAATCTCTCTGCTTGAGGACGCTCCTGGAATAAACAAAATCACCTGATCAGCCAAACCAGGAGGAATCTCTCTGCTTGAGGACGCTCCTGGAACGCGCTTCCACCTGACCGCCGCGCTGCCAGGCAGCTCTTGGACGCGCCAATGCCTGCGGCAACCGCCTTGGGCCTGGGGCGACACGCGACTGGAGACGGTGTTGACAGTTTCTTTATGTCCTGCCGTTGTCGGAATTTACATGCGGCAAGGTGAGCATAGAACCAATGAACAATATGCTGCATATGCTTCAAACAATGTTACGACGTTTGTACAAACAAGTGGTTTCAGATTGTTTGATTTGAAGCCTCCTTTGCAGGTTCCAAGTCGTTCGTTTACAGCTTTCACCTCTACCACACACCTTTGCCCAGCCGGCCTTCTGCCTACATAAGCTAAGACCTTTCAGAAACCGGCGTTGTTGCAATGATACGTCCTTTTGCACCACTGTCATGGAAGGGTTTCTCTCTAGTTTCGGACCTCATGGACATCCCATGAATCAAACCGTGCAATGCACAAACATCTGCAATCCACGATTGTTTTCCTTTCCCCAATTATAGCGCAGCGCCACTCTTCTCAGAAAAAACCTGGCGTCTACCTTTGTCGAACTTCAAAGCAACAATGTAGACTCCACTCATCCATTCAATCCATTCAACAGCAGCCTCCCTAGGGAATGGGCTGCTGGACATTCTCGCCCACCTGGTACAGAAGGCGCCCGTTGGCATCCCTCACTTCATTGAACAAAGCCCCGTACAACCGCAATTGACCTTCACGGTTGAACTGAAGACGGCCCTCCATCGACAACCACCGGAATCCTAAGTCAGTGATGTTGAGCTCAACGATGACGTACTTCTTAGGATCACCATCCTCGGGGTTGGCCATCTGCTCCAGGTTCTCCTTATCATTCTGCACGGAGTCCGCCATACGTTTCTTGCTGGGCGGTTCCCATGTGTTGAATGTGTATCCCCTGTTCAAGGCCTCCTCCGGGTTGTCACGGAGCCCGAAGCGACCACTGTAGGGATCGGGCTCCACTCCATGTCCGCGTTGCAGTGCCTGAAATTGGGCTGGGCTCAAGCCAATATACTGCCGCAGCGGCGGCAATGGTGCAGGAACCGGAGCCAGCATCAACGCCGCCGAATCAAATGCTGACGCCATTCTCTCACAAGAAGGAAGGATTTGGAAAACAGTCACAGCTTGGTGTTCTTGTTCATTGTGTGCCGTGTTTTAAGTCTTGTGAAGGTGATACAAATTGCTTGGAAGTGCTCGCTGTGCACGTCTCTGGCACATCTTCCTTGATATCATGCGGCGATGTAGTGAGGAAACGTGCATATAGCTGACATGCGAGTTTGGATTGACCACCAAACTTGAGGGATTAGTACATGAATGCAAGATGTACACTCCCTGAAATGATCATGGAAGTGGAGATCACCACCTGTCAGTTTGGCAATTCGGAAAATTGTCCTCCAATGTCATCCGCGTAGCCATGATCTACCGGGTGTAATCAGTCCTTTGAGGATGAGCTTGTTGAGTATGCAAACTTTGTGCACAGGTGTCTTCTTTTGATCGGGCGCTGCGCAGCTACAGGAAGTTCAAGTAACTTCAATCCTATTCTACTTCACTCTACCCTGCTGGCTAGGGCAGGATCTACAAGCATATCCTTGATCAATAAAACCCCAAACAAATGGATTTCTAGAGCCATTCTGGGGGAGGTTATTCCATTAATATCAACAGTCTAGACACTACACTCCGGAGTGAGAACTTACACCTAATTTTGAGCATTCTATTGCTGTCGGCCACCGTTTGGAGAGTGGCTCGTGTCACCTGGCCGTTCAAGATGGAGGCCATGGAGATGGGGGCTTGATTGTGTCGCCGGCCACATGTTTCTCTTCGGCCAGCGAAGCCCGCGACACCCAACCAGCGAGCAGACGACCTCTTTCTCCGCGGCGAACGAGGGCGAGCTCTGTCGGTCAGCGTACGCGGTCAGCGCGCGGGGGGACGCGCCAACACCACCTGTCTGCGCCGGCGCCAGTCGAGACCCGGGGTGGTGTGTGGTTGGGATTGAGATTCGACCTGTGTTCCACCGACCCCTGTTCGACCCCCTTTTCCACCCAATCTGTGGGGAACACTGAACACGAAAACTCTCTTCTCAAAAAGTCGGGCCAGTCGTAGCTCCGAGTTTCGCAGGTATGACTGGATCCGATGCACCCACCCTAGCTGACTGGTGCTTAGTAAGGAATGAGGGAATGATCCCCCACTACAGATTCCTTAGGATTCCCTACTAAGCACAAGTAAGCTATAGGGTATGTTGGAACCCATGTTTGGTTGGAACACCATCTCGTGGCGGTCCCCAGGCCGGAGCTGCTCAGGCCTCCGAGGCCTCCCATCTGCTGGGAACTGAAGACCCGGCATCCGGCCACATGGTCTTCAAAAGTGAAGGAACATACAACTCACCTGGGGACATAGCCCACATCCCCTCCTACATCCTCACATATCGATATATAGTTAACATTCAATATCATACAATGACGTACATAAAGATCATATGATAAAGTATATCATACACAGATATACGTACTCTTTACGATACCGCACACACCGCACACGGGTCGCCACTCCCGGGTCACCCACCTGTGAGCGGTAGCCCAACACATCTGTGACCTCCACAGCCAGAATCTCCCAGCCAAGGCCTGGCAGAGTAGGCCCGACTTTCCCGTGACGGTGGTCACGAAGTCCCCAGCTTCTGAGGTTCAGATGGATTCATGTTGACTCTCCCCTTTGGGCTCTGGTCGGACCTCCTCAGAAGGTATTTGGCTAAACCCACCCCAGTCCCACCTTCTCAGAAGGTATTTGGAGCCCTAGGGTCTTGATAAATATATAAACCCACCCCATTTGGATTGAACAAACCTCTTCATATGGGGTGGTTTATTAATCAAGAGTCTACATTATGGTGGTTTCAAAGCAAAATGGCACAATCCCCAAAATGGTGGTCTTGGTTGAAGGCTGAACGGAGGGCGCGTGTAGAAAGGGGGTCAGCCAAAATCGCCTGTACGAAGTTAGTGCATCAAAAATACCTTCTACGAAGTTCTACGAAGGTTTCTGGGATTTTGTTGCAGTAAGTTTTCATACTGGCCCACCATTCCACGAAACGTCCACGAATAGCCCCGGGTTCCACGAATGACCCGCTCCTTCCACGATGTTAGTAGAATAGGTGTTTGCAAAACTCTGATTGGTGGACCAGATAGTTTTACAGATATCTAAGGGTGCCAGTGCCATGTACTCTGAAACTGATGTCGCTGTCGTTGGAGTTGTGTTCCATACTCTTGCAAGATTCACTGCACTGGGCAGCCAAAAAGTCATCTGACGAGTCAAAAACACATGTGTGCTGCACAAAAAGACAAGAGAGACTCAACACGTTTTCAAGAAGGCATATACAGAGAGCGCTTCGATACAAGAGATTATATAAAACATCAAAACCGACTCAAGACTTGAATGCCAAGGGTGGGGCACTTCTTGGGCAATCATGTTGAAGAAATGCAGTGGTATCTGTGTGACATGTTTCAATGGCCTGTTGTTGCCAGGCCTCCGGGTTTCGAATGACCTTGCCGCCATGATGGCAGGGTCTTCTTGATCCTGCATGAGCATTCTATACCTTTTTACCCCAAGTCAGGTTGAGGCGTTTTGCATCGCTACCCCCACAGAAACATCAACACATGATTAGGAGACTTCGAAGATGATTCAAGTCGAAATGAAATGATGCTCCAACCCTCAGGGGTGGTCTTTTCTCCAGTGAATGGATCTTCTTGTACCGGCCCGTGAATGGCACCCCGAATGCTCCAACTCCTGAAAAAATGGTGGCGATGCCCATGCCCAGCTCATGCCCAGCCTCTAGGAGGTCTGGGCGAAGACACATCTCCCACACTCCAGAACAACGGTCAGAAGACCAAACTGGACATGGTTCCACGATGGATGACCACGCAGAACACCACGTCAGATTTGGGGTGGACAGGATGTCATACCGACACCACGCCCTACAGAATCTGGCTGCAGGGGGATCCATGAGGATCCATTGTGGTTCTCTTCAGCAGGTGCCAACGCAGGTTGAAGGACCCTATAGTCCCTATAGACTATCCCATAGGTACCCCCAGTAGGGTCCTAGTTCAGGTCACTTAACCTCTTTTGGTGAGCTACATGGAGCCTGGCTCCGGGTTGAGCCTGCCTTTTGCACCGATCCGGCTACCTTTCCCCCTTCCCGGCCCGGTTCCCGAAGCCCCGGCCTTCGAGCTTGGCGCGGAGGTCTTTGGGGCGACATCCACCCACCACGCTGGGGGCTTTCTGCCAAATGGACTCCCAAGTCGTCATCAACCTGACTGCAATTGACTCCCACAGCTGTGCAAACTGGAGCGAAGTGGGTTTCAATGGTTGACGCACCAACAAAAACCTGCAAAGACTGAGGAAGCTCTGCCATACCATGGCTGATCATGGCTGGAGCTAGTCTGCTTTCGAGCTCTGTGAGAGATTGTAGAAACAAAAGCTGAGTTGATAGTTACAAAAGCCATGTCAACACATACCAGCAACCTGACATGAGTGTTGAACAAATTAGGCCCCCCTTATTAAAAAAGAAAAGCACACACAAAACACACAAATACAAAAACAAACAAACGCCTGGCGTGGCCCAGGGCAACATCCTATTGGACCACGCCGAAATGTATGCCAAGCAGAGTGAACACCCCAAACCAATGAAGCATGTAAAAAACCCAAACACGCCCAAACATGGTGATCATCCACCAACTGCACCACTGTGCTCACCAGAACTACCGCTTGCACCACTGTGTACCTTGCTGAAATGGCCAGGGCCGCTCCCGGCTCAAACCTTCGCAGGGTTCTGCCGCAGAAAGGTGGCAAAACGAGAGCAAAACGAGAGCCCAACAAAGCCCAGGCTGAATCCATGTGTATCCATGTCTCATATAGACTCTTGAGGACCATCAAGCACTCAAGAGTGGATCGTAAACGCAACTGGTGCAATTGAACTTATTTAAAGAGTCTATACATCGCCACTTAGTGAAGATGTCTCAGTTCAGGTCTCTCAACCTGGCACCACCCTTGCAAAACCAAGGAGCGCGCTCCCGGGGAACACACCTCGGACACCAGACGGCCCCAGACTGGAGATGGTCATACTAATACTTAAGGTGGTTAGAAAGACCTGGTTTGGATCTGGGTCAGACTGGACTTGTAGGGACTTGCTCTTTTCGTGCCGTGTTCTCAGTCTGAGGCAAATCCAATGGGCCAATGAGTTGTTGAGAAAAGATCCTGGCGCCAATGCTGCTGTTTCACCTCTCAGGTACTGGAGTTACTGGATATCAATTCCGCCCAAAAAGATCCGCCATCGGGTGAGCTGCCCGGTTGGGGCAAAGGTCCCCGTACTGAGAAAAGAGCCATATACTGTGATGACCACCGTAGGTCCAACCCAGTGGATCCCAGGCAGCCACGAGTAGTAAGGAACAGGGGCCCCCTGGCACCACCACCCCAACTGATCAGCATATATGGATATATATGGCATACATGGAGTGTCTGGGCACGAGTAGTAAGGAACCAGGGACCTCCGTTTGGTCGAACTGCTTTCAGTGCCCAGCGAGCCCCGCCTATTGAGGCCAGGTACTCCGTACTTCCATTCCGTTTCAGAAAACGCTGATTGGCTGAGACGAAGCGAGTGGTGTGTCCCTTTTTTAGGCGCCTGATTTCTGTGGGGGGTAGGAACATGTCATGGGGATGGGTCATCACCTGGAGCCCCAGCCCCATGTAGCTTGCCAGGTAGGGGATCAATCTGCTGCATTCTTGTCAGGTTCTCCCGCTCCCACTAAGTTGCAATGTCAAAACGTGTGAAACTATCAGAATAAACTGAATAAACATCCAAAGAAACAAAACGCGGCTGTCAAAGTGCCACGGGCCACACATGATGCATCAAGAGGCAATTTCTGCGTTCCATATGGTTAGATGCCAAGGGAGTCGGAGCTAAGGAGTTTATACAAAATGACACCACAAGTTTTGTGATGGTTGATTGTTTAAAAACAAATCATGAAGCGACACACAAGAGTCACAAGAGAATACTCTAAAACAGAAGCTAGGTTATTTGCACCTGCTTTTGATTGCTATAAGCCATTTGCTTGGACCACATGTTTAATGTGTGATGTTCAGTTTCATAGGGCTAGCAGGTATAGCATCGGTTATGGGATATACCCAAGCAGCTAAAGCACAGTCACAGTACACTACCTACTTGACAAACGCCAAAGCCCACAAGAGTCGGCAAAGGAAACAGCTCAAGCAAATGCATCAAAGCACCAGTACAAAAAGCAGCTCCTTTAGCAGTGACGACGACAGCTCTAGTTGAGGTACAAATATGCGCTAGTGAAACGAGCAAAAGCACCACACAGCAATGAAGCGACTCGCAAGGGATTTCTGAATTCGCACCGTTTTCGGGAACGGAACAATACTGTCGTTTTCGGGAACTGAGAGTCTGGCAGGCTTCAGTCTTCAGCCTGCTGTCGGACCTCCTGGTCACTCTCACAAAATGGCTGATATAGATCTTCAGTTGTGTTAGGTGCGTCATCAATTCCCGTCAAAAACTACTTTTCGTAAGCGCAGGAGGTCCTGGGAGTGCGCCTGAAAAA